AGCTGAAATGGGTCTAACTTTTGTCCCACTAGATGTGTCTCTCCCAGACTCTCAGCATGGCTGATTCCTCTCCCTGCCCTCTGCCACCGGCACACAGCTCTCAGCATCCCCTGCGGAATGGACAGTGCTTGGCTATTCACTCACAGGATCCTCAGAGCAGCGGGGCAGGACAGACTCCCCCCCCCCCAGACTGATGAGGAAACTGAATCAAGGGAAGTGACCCAGCCTCACAGCCCGTGGCAGGGCTTGACCTTGGTTCCAGGTCTTCCAATTCCAAAGCTAATGCCCATCCTACCTGACTACATGCACCTTCAGCAGCACAGAGAGATAGGTACATGTCTGCTATCACTAGCAGCTCTCTGTACCAGGGCTGAGACTCCAGGGGCTGTGAGACACTGCTAACACCTAGCAATGCCTGGCACACAGTAGGTGCTCTGCAAATGTGTGATGGGCGGCTTCTGTCTTCCCCTCCCTCACTCTCTAGTACAAACGACTTTTACTCTTCCCTCAACAATCAACCACTCCCTAATATCATGGGGAGATGCAGGCATGAGGAAGAGACAGCCACGGTGAAAGGCAAGACAGGTAACTCTGCCTCCTGGTACCACTTGCTTCTCACCCCTGGGTGCAGTCGAGGCTGAACTCAAAGGCAGCCCTGACCACAAAGGAGAGAAAAGTCAGCCCCACCAAGCTGCAGCGCGGCAAGTACTGGTATCCAGTCTGCCCTGGGTGATGGCTCCCACGTTCTGAATTGATTATTCCACTGCAGACACCAGAGCACTTTGGTTTCCCTTAATTAATTAAAATATCACATAATAACTATTCTCTGATTTAATGTTCAAGAGGCCCTGGTGAAGGCTGGGAACGAGGAAATTCATTAGAGGAGACTGTTCACTGTCGATCGATTTGCTGCTTCTTATTCATTTTTCCTGCACCAGCCATCCCTGGGGGAGAGGAGAGGGCAAGGATTTTTTTAAAGACGTAGGAATTAATTTCACCACAAAACCTTAAGGAAAAAATCCACCTTGACTAAAACCTAGTCTTTTTTTTTTTAAGGTGGAAAGTAGATAGAACACAGGCTTTAGAATTATCTTCCTCAAGCCAGTTGTAACAGAAGACTGACATTCAGGCTGTCCACTGCTTACAGTATCAAGTTCAACCTCCTCTGATGGCCTGTATGGGTGTGGCCTAAAACCATCACCCCACCCACCAGTAGCTCTGAACAGCAGCCATGGCCACTACTCCCAGTTCACAAACTACGCTGCAGTTCTCCACCCTAGCTCCTTTTTGCATGCTGTTTCCTTAGCCTGGAATCTCCCACAGCCACTTCAATCTGGATGCCTCTGCAGTCAGCTCAAATGCCTCCTCTTCTGAGAAGTCTTCCCTGATCTCCCCCTGCACAGACCACAACGCAGACACCTTGTACTGCATGGCAGGATAGTGACCTCGTCCCACCCACTTCTCCACTGGAGTCTGAGTGCAAGACCCAATCCCGCTCCCTTTCATATCGCCTAGTATCTTGCACCATTTTGGCACCTGGAGAAAGCTACTCGATGTGTGTGTGGGAGATGACAGGAGCAGATCTCTCTCAGTGAGTGAATTAAATACTAGAATCATTATACAGTAGGACACACAAGTTCTGAGGGAGAGAATGAATGGAGAGAACAGAGGCTTCTGTCCCCCAGTCTCTAGTACTAACAATTTTTACTCTTCCCTTAATAATCAACCAGTCCCTAATATCATGGCCAAGGGGGAAATTTAAGCATGAGGAAGAGGCAGCCACAGTGAAAGGCTGGCAGTAGTGTGAGATGATTAGGGCTGGTTAAAAATTGCAAGCAAGGTGGCCAGGACTGAAGTAGTTGATGTGGGCAAGGAGAGAAGAGGGCAAGACACCTGAGGGATAATAAATATCAGTGGGACCTGGACCCATCTATAGCAGCATTCCTAGGACAAAGAGACCACAAAGTCTGTCCTTAAAAACATTTATTTTCAGGGGTCATGACATCATGACTTCTATGAAAACAGAGTAGAAAAAACACAGGCTTGTGGGGGTCGGGGGAGAATCATGTTTCCAAATGATAACAGCAGTCACAACAAACCTACTCTCAGTCTCTGAAGAAGTCTTTGGGATCTCATATTTGAAAAGCTATTAGGCTGGAACAATCATGTTAATCTGCCTTTTCGGTTTTGGTGAAAATTCCAGACAGTGTACCATTTTAAAATTTGTTTTTGCTCATAATTATGATGCTAAAACCAGCCCCATACTGTCTTGGCACTCAGCACTATCATGGGGCTCCAACCACCCTGCTCTTTGCGTCCAGATCCAACACTCCAATTTTGACTATGCAAATCGGAGCTGATTCAATGAATTTTGCAGAATGCACTTATTAGCAGATGAATGATGCTCTACTGCCTTCTCCAGAGCCACAGCATCCCTCTTCCTTCCAACATAACTTCATTAAGTGTCTGACCAAGTCATCTAACCATTCACATCACAGGGGAATTAACTGCAGACCCTCGGACATAGAAATAACCACAGCTGGGGGAGCAGAGAGGGGTAGGAGGTGCCCAGCAGGAGGGGAGGTGAGCAGGTCCCCCTGCAGCCCCAACCCCCAACAGACAAGAGCAGCTTCCAGTTTGATCAATTTCAATTCTGATTTTATCCAAAGAGGGGTTCCAATGTTTTAAAGTTTGAAAGCTACTCATCTAGTTTCAGTCCCTTCTTATTCAAATGAGGACACTGAAGCTCAGGAAGTGAAGGGGACTTGCCCAGGGTCACACAGTAATCCAGGGGCGAATACGCAAATGGACCTCATGTTACCAGATTCCCAGGCCAGTCTCCTTCTGCTGTGTAGCACACCAGGGTGACACCATCCCAATGTTTTAGACATGGAATAGCCAGGTTTAAACACAGAAATTCATCTCCAACAAGGACTCCAAAATGTAATGCCCAGCATGAGTGGCATGAGAGTGTGCTTTAAAAGTTGAGGTGAACCTGGATAAGGATCCCTGAAACCTGTGGAATTGGCAGCATCTTCCTTTACATAGTATGGAGATTACCCTGAGAAGCGGCACCATGGAAGGGTACCAAGGAGGGCCAGGTGCCAGAGTTCTGGTCCTTCTTGGAGGCCTTCAGACCTTAGGCAAGTAGCTTCACCTCTCAGAGCCTGGTTTCTTCATCTGTAACAGGGGGAAGGATATTAATTCCTGCCCTGCCCATTCTCCCAGAGTTGAGATCATGGGTGTGACAGTGCTTCATGAACTTAAGGACCATCCACTCTGAGGGATCCCAATTCTCACTTCCAAAAATTGTAATCGCCTACAGATCTATTTTTTAGACAACATGGTAAATTTTTTTTTTTTTTATTCCTTTTTGTCTTTTTTACTGACCGGTAACGGGATAGCAACCCTCGGTGTCACGCCCGTACCGGGGACCGGCAATGGGATCGCAACCCTCGGTGTTG